TATTATTATTCCTTTTGATGCACGGGTCCAATGGTGAGCAAAGTGTTAAGCTAAATTTGCACTTAGTTTATTACATATATTGTAAATAATGTTTTGCTATTACTCAATAGTTGAATAGGATGGGATTTTACTACCATTTGCAATATATATTTAAACTGTCACATTCTGTTATGAAGTGTTATAGTGAACATATTATCCTTTTTTTTTTCCTTAGAAGTGGGAAGCTGAATAATCATTTAGAAGCTGCTATACATGAGGCCATGAGTGAACTCGATAAAATGTCTGGGAATGTAAGTATGCAGTGAGAAATATTAAAGGTTTTTAAGCTTTTTTGAAAAAAAATGCTTTGTATTACACTGCAGTTTAACCACCCTCAGAACTGGATGAGTACTGTAGCTTCTCTCGCTCATTCTCTCTTTCTTACACATGCACTCCATAAAAATGTAATGCTCAGTCCTTTTACAGTGCAATTCTTTACATACTATTTCAAAAATCAGTCCTATTGTTTACTATTAGGTAAGTGCGTATAGAGTTAGTTTTAAACATACTTAAAGAAAAAAAGTTGTTCTGAAATGAATGAATGTGCCTCAGCTCTTTTTTATCCTAATGCCTAACCTGTATTGTGAACATGTAGCTACTGTTAGGATGGAATATGGAGAGACAGAATGGTTTCCTATAGGCAAAGGTGTCAGATAAGGGTACACTTTATACCTTTATCTGCTCAATCCGTATGCAGGACATACCATAGGGAAAGCCAGACTAGACTCAGCTAAAGGAGGGCTGAAAATTGGTGGAAGAAACTTCAGTAATTTAAAATACACTGATGACACTGTCTTATTGACAGAAAGCAGCAATTACACGAAATGACTTAACATGAAGGAAGAAAGTGCCAAAGCAGGAATGCAGTTGAACATTAAGAAGACAAAAATCATGACTGCAGAAGAACTACACAACTTTAATGTTGACAATGAAGAAATTGAAACTGTTAGATTTTATATACAGTACCTTGGTTCAGTCATCAATCCAAGGGGAGACTACAGCCAAGAAATCAGAATAAAACTGAGACTCAGAAGGGCAGCAGTGAAAGAATTAGAAAAGCTCATCAAGTGCAAGGATGTATCACTAGAGACCAAGACCAAAATCATTCACTTTATTATATCCTTAGTGTACCCTTATCTGACTCCAATCACAATGTATGGTATAAAAGCTGGACAGAGAAAAAATTGATTCATTTGAAATGTGCTGGTGGACAGCTTTGCAAATAACCTGGACTGCCAGAAGGACAAAAAAGTGGGTCCTAGATCAAATCAAGCCTGAACTTTCTCTGGAAGCAAACATGACAAAATGGGGGCTATCATATTTTAGCTATGCCATGAGAAAGCAAGATTCACTGGAAAAGATATTAATACAGTGGTGCCTCACTTAGCAACGTTAATCCGTGCTAAGCGATCGCTCTGGCGATGGCCAAAACCCCATCGCTAAGCGATTTTATCGCTCAACGGAGCGATCGCTAAGTGAGGCACCACTGTACTAGGAGCAGAAGACCAAATATGAGATGGACTGACTCCCAACAAGAAGCCATAGTCTTCAGTTTACAAGAGCTGGGCAGGGTTATTGAGGACAGGACATTTTGGAAATCACTGTTTCATAGGGCGGCCATACGTTGAAGGCAATTTGAGGGCACATAACAACAACAGACCACATCCATAGATCAGCTTTGTAAATGTGTATTGTGCATTCATGCACATTTCAAAATGTGGTGCCTGCAACCAGCCATTCTCAGCGGGGGCCATATGGACTCCCCGGAGCCCCCAGCACATTTGAAAGGGGCCACAGACAGGGAACAATTCTTCACACACCACTTTGTAAGGTTCATTACACAACTTATACAATATTGATTTGGCTTATATTTCTTTCATATTGTGTTTATGGTGGTGGTTAAAAGAAAGGTTGAGAATGGCCACCTGGAACAAAAAAGATATGATTGCTAAAGTTATGAAACTGAAGGAAGAATCCCAACTGCAAAGTAACGTATGAGAGATTCACCTTGTATGCCAGCTTTAATTCTGCTGGACAGTGGTACTGATAAGCTATTTCTGATATTCATTTTTTTCAGCATAGCTTTATTATGCTTGCTTGAAATTTGAAATAATGACTGCCAGCATTTTTTTGTAATCAAATAACCTGCTACAGAAATAATCAAGTGTCAAAAGATCAAATTAAAATTTCTTATTTTGAGCATCATACCTTCTTTCTGACGAAAAAATTAATACTCAGAATGTTAGTATAATACATAAGAATATATGTGAACTATGTGAAATAGCATAAAATATAAAGAAAAGGAGCTGAACTAAAAAACATAAAAACTTCAGAATTAGGATCAATGAGCAAACAATAAAAATCTAACTTACATTTAATGGTTTATTTCATGGAGGGCAAACCTTGTATTTTTGCATTTCCTCTATGATATTGAAATAATACTTAGGTTTTCTGATGGTCTCCTTTCCTGATGCAGTCTTCAAAAAGCTTCTTGCAGAAGCCTCTTAAGTTCTCAGAGTTGTAGTTAAAAAACAACCACCACCACCACTAGCTTCATATCTGCCAACCTCTAATAAATGTCAAGTATTTCATGATTACCAACCCATTTCAGCTTTCCCATTATTATTTATCCCAGTTGTTACCATTTTGTTTTCTAATTTGTTTTTTGCTGTTTGTTTCTCCTCCCACCCTCCAGGTACACCAAATTCCACAAGGAGACAGACAGTTGAAGCCTCCAAAACCCAAGAGGAGGAAAATCTCTAGATAACATTGAATGTCTTTGTTACTGGTTCCGTACTTACATAAACAAACATGCACATAAATATATGGTATTATGTATTGACAATATCAGGATGGATAGTGTTCATCACCACAGGGTGCTAAACAAAATAGTGGTACAGTATTCTTATTGGTAAAACAGGAATTGTTAATCCAGATCTTCAAAAGGTTACAGTGTGTCTATAAAACTCTTTTTTCTATAATACTAAAATTGTGATTATAAGATTATAGTCAAGCTGTTTCTGCAAAGTTTTCATTGTGTATATAGATAAAACAGAATTTCATGATGATATCTGAAATGTAAATAATGTACAATATTGTCATGTACAAGCGTACCTAATGCACACTTTATCTTTTATTGTACAAAAAAATAGTGTACAAAATTCTTTGGTTTCTATTGAGTACACATACAAGAGACTACCAGTGTAAAGTGATAAATAAAAATACAGCCTAAATGCTTTTATATAATAATGTAAAAGATGCTGTTTTTGTATTTAACAGCAGTGAAAAGGCATGATTATGTAATACCTTAATTATGACATAACACTTCTCGCCACTGAGTGTTCATTGATAGTGTCTGTTTGGAATGAACCTTGCCTGGAAGTACTGTACTCCATTTCAGGTCCCTGTAGGAGAGTGCAACCTTGTCGATTCCTAAAGGGATGTGGGATCACAGGTCAAATTAAGAAGTCAAAAGCTGCAACTCTTGGTTGCATTTTTTTTAATTTGCCTGAATTTTAAAGTAAAGTACTGTAGATTTTTTTTATTAAAAATATTTAGATAGCTATTTTAGTCAACTATTCCTTTAACAGAGTTTCACAGCCACCTGCTTTAAAATCAGACTCATTTTATACCACCACTCATTTTGAAACCCCTTCAGAGCCTAAATTGGCTAGTACAGGTTGCTGAAGCCAGAGAACACCATTGCATTTAATGTAGCAGAGCAACAGCCCTGTTAAATATAAGAATTGTTCCCATTACCTGTTAAGTACCAGATCTTACAGTACAGCAGAAAAAGTGTTCCCATAAGCTAAAGAAGGAGTTTCAGTTACGTGCTTGAATATGTTTATTTAGTTCGGTGGAACTATGTCAGCATTGAAGGACAGTGAATTGTCACAGCCGCTGATATAGTAACCCTATCAACCATCTTAATATATTAAAGGTAAAAGGTGGCTTACTAAACTATTAGCAGCACTGGCCAGGATCCAAAGAAGTGCACAACTGATTCTCTGCACTTGAAAGGCTTTTGTGAGTGCTCCTTGGGAAATGTCTCTCCTCCCACACATATGAGTGACGTACCACTTTTTAAATCAGAGGGGACTTCCAAAAACATTTTCTGGTACACAGTGAGATTCTTATTAAAATAAGGGCAGGACTGAAAATCCCACCAGGGAGACCAGAATCTTTGAGTGTACCTCAAAGAGTGTAGCTCTTTGGATCCTAGACAGTGATTTTTATCAGTATTATGTAACATATCAGATTTATTTTATTTAATAAGAATTATTTATACCATTAACAGATTCTTATATATAAAAATAGGTTGACTCTATTAACCAGATTATTTATGTTATGTTTAAGTTTGAAAGAAATGTGAAACATGTATGTTAGAACGATGATCGTACACTACAGATACACAAACATAAAACTGTGAGTCATGCTCCGAATACCAGTATCTTTAAAAGAAATTGTAGTGCCGTGTCATTTTCGATTCTGGTGCTGCATATGGTGGCAGTGGCTCCTCCCCCCCCCCCCCGGGGCCCCCTTCCAGGCATCCCAGAACATACTCTCAGTTCACCATGCCTGGCCCCAAGATGGAGTCCTTAGGAACAGCGACTACCTCTTCATCTGGGAGCCACTCTTTTTGTTATACCCTGGAACTGTAGTCCTTTCAAAGGCCTAGTTACCTCTTCTAGCAAAGACTGCTTGCTGGTGATCAGCGTCATCCAAGGTTGATGACAGTCCCAGCATATTGATAACCAAAACCTAGTGCTTACACGCGAGGAGTCCTCCTTCCCTTTCTCAGGGCCAAGCTCCATTTTCTATGGGATCTGAGCAAGAGGACTAGTCCCAGAGGACAAAGAGCTCAGATTCCCCGTGGCCAGTTCTTCTGTGCCAATGCACACCGCACTACCCCCTGGGCTTAGATCCTCCGCTCTTATCTCATGCAAATAGCTCTTCCTTTTTTCCACGCCCCAACCTGATGGAATGCAATTAGCTACACTAAGCTACAGTGGCCTGGAGTCAGAAACCCTTCCTTCTGCTGGGTAGGTTCATCTTGTCTTTTGTGTACTGGCAGGACAGAAAACTCATGTGAAGTGATCTTTTGTGTAGTTTAGTTAGCACTCTTATTTTCTGTTACAAGTTGATGTGTTTGTTACGTTTAAAGAGTTAATGTTGTCTATTTTTCGTACCAGCCTGCTTTCTGCTCTCGTCTAAACAGATGTTTCTATTCATGAATACTCGTGTGCGTGTGTGTGTGTGTGAATGAGTGGATGTGTGTTTATATTTAGTTTTTTTTTAAGTTTGCTCTCCTTTTTTTGGTCCCTAAAATTGAATTTGTATTGACCAACCCTTCTTTTGACATTTTTAACTAATTAGGTTTGTACTTTTCTCACCAATGTATACTTTACATTAGTAGCCTATGTAAAGTATTTTTGTGCACTTGATTTCATTGGTTAATATTGGCGTTGATGTGGGTGCTAGGAGTAGTTTGTTTCAGTCCATACCAATTTTTTTCCCTCCTCTTTAGAGTTTTTATCGTTTTATGTAAGCAGTTAATGTAAATATTGTGAGCATTACAGGTCATGCAGTGTTGTAACATTTTTAAAAATGTTGCACCTACTTTACAATTAAAAAGCTGGTCACTCATACTTGAATTTTGCCCATAGAGCCATTTCTTTCTCTTTGCATTAATGCCTAAATTTCTTCTTTTAAAAAAAATAATCAAGGCCCAGCCCTTCTTTGAAGCTTTTTGTTGTTGTTGTTATTGTTGTTTAACAAATCTATATTTTTCTAACAGAAGATTTTAGCATTTACATTTTTGCCATCTTTCTAACTTATGGTGAGATACTCCTATATTTAGAGAGTGAGAAAATATCCTCATTTTAGAAAGTGGAATAACTGAATTCTGTAACTCAGCACAATGACAGAAATCACAAATGAGAACAGTTAAGTTGGGCTCCATAAGATGAAGTAGCCTCACATTAGATCAATTAGTGGGTGTTTGTGTGGTGTTGTGAGGATATAAAATGCAAACTATCCTCATGTGTCTATTTATTTATTTATTCTTGGTGGGTTATGATAAAATTATATAAAAGTCAAAGGAATTTTTCTTTTCTCTATCATGGAGCTTTACAAACACAATTTCTATTTATGAAAAAGTTTTAATACCTTTAACTAATTATTTAGACTGAAAATGATTGCTGGCACTAGCTCTGAAAATAATATCCAAAGGGTTGAAAATCACACATCCCATACAAGGTATGGCCACTGTTTTAAGTTGGGGATTTTGTTTTATACTTTTTATATTTAAATTTATCAGTGCCATTGTGCAGACAACTTGCTAATAATGCAATATTATTGTGGACTCCCTCAATTTATTGGTATAAAGTATCATGGTGAACTGAATTAACTTTTATTAGCTACAGTTTGTATTTTGCTACATAGGGTTTTTAATATGAATATTCCAGAAGAGCAGTAGCATAATTATGCTTTTCTATTTTAAAAGAACCCCATTCTAGTCTTACTAAGAGTTAGATTTTTTAAAAAAAATCAGTTTTGTAAAATTTGATAAGATTGTCAATATTATGATTAAATCACACAAAAAAACTCACTGTGATGTTCTCTTCCGGAAAGGGGCCATGTTTGCACAAAAGCAGTCTGGGAGGGGGTATATGTCCCTGATTTAAAGTGGACTGTACGATGTACTCTTAAATAAGCATAACATTAATGAAGAGTTAAAATATATTAACCTCAGACAATTTGGATAGAAAACCTATGCCACAGTTCTTGGTTTACTTTTTTTGTTTTTGTGCCCAAATTTTAATACTCTTGTCAGTTCATAAAATTCTGTGTCCGGCAATTCCATTTACAAATTATATGGCTTGGTTGATTGTATATTCTGCACAGTTCACCTGTAGTTAAATCAGAGAATTGCGCCTCAATTAATTCTCCTCCTCTGTGGGACTTATCAGTGAAGATTACAGTTGCCTGGAAAAATAAGCAGATATCTTTGAAGTTCATGATACACCACCAGTTGCATGTTACATGTTTTTGTGGAGTCTTGGAGAACCTGGCTCTTTTCATGAACAATTATTTAGTGATATTCTCCAATTTTTGCTTACCTGATCAGATAAAAACTTCTTCTCATTGAAGTAGTTGTCTTCATCAGAGAAAAACTAGATGTCTTTGGGAATCTCACTGGTGTTGAAAAATATTCCCATTTGTCCCTTAGTGCCAGGGGCATACTGTCTTTGGAGATTCCCCCCCCCCCCGGAGTTGCGGGTAGCTGCCACTGACAGATATATCTTCCATCAACTAGTCTTAAAGCAAAAGCAAAGCAAAGTACCCCATAGCGCTTCAAGCACACTCTGGGTGGTTTACAAGTTAATTATGCAGGCTATACATCCTCCCCTCGCAAGCTGGGTACTCATTTTACCGGCCTCGGAAGGATAGAAGGCTGAGTCAACCTTGAGCCGGCTACCTGGGATTTGAACCCCGGGTCGTGAGCAGAGTTTTGGCTGCAGTACAGCAGTTTAACCATTGTGCCGCAAGGCTGCTCTTAACACTTTTTAAGAATATGCATGAGCAGCCAACATAGTATATTTTGCAAAAGAGTTAGATTACTGGAAGGAATTATTTTTCTAAAGAAAAGAAATTGTTACCTCTGGATCAGCTTTGTTGATTGGCCCATATTTTGATGTTTTAATGTTTGGGATGTGTGAGACACATTCTAACATTGCCAGTAATCCTGTTAATTGACTATATTTCCATTTCAGAATTGCTGGGTGCCTAAGTACCACTGTCCCAGCCAATCCTGAAAACCTCTTCCAAGAACTTGTGGATAACAAGAATGCCCCTACTACAGTACCTTTTCCTCCACAATACTATTTTATCCTTCCCTAAGTTGCTGACACTACCCATGTTGCATCACTTCCCGAGAAACAAGATAGCTACCAAGGAGACAATTAAAACACTTTCAAATGAACTTGCACAATCCTGGAAGTGCTTTATTTCTACTCAACGGGAAAGCACAAAAGGACTGGCAACTTTGTTCCTCTGAAATGAATATAAGATACTGTGATAAAAGAGAAGGCAGGTATTGGCTGAAATCCAACTGTAAGTCACAACTAGAGTAGACCCATTGAATCGGTGGAACTTATGCAGAGTTTGGATCACCAAATTCCTGCTGATTCAATGGTCCTACTTTAGTTGCAACTTACTACTAGATTTCATCTGTTATAGTATGATGAAATTTTCATTTTAAGATCCAAGGCCTGAATCTGAGTTACCCAACAGTCTACAGCCCGTGAATCAATAGTATTTCTGTAAGTGTTAAGCCATTATTAAGAAGCAATGGTCCTACTTTAGTTGCAACTTACTAGTAGATTTCATCTGTTATAGCCAGTGAATCAATAGTATTTCTGTAAGTGTTAAGCCATTATTAAGAAGGTCATTCAATCGGTCTGATCTAGTTGAGACTAACAATTGGATTTAGGCCCAAGAGGCTACTGACTTTCCCCTTTAACTTTCTCAATAACAAAAAACAGTGAAGAGGACAGTAATAAAATGTTGATTAAAGGAGAACTGCAGGTACGTCATTTTTTCCAAAGATTCTTATACAGGTCATGTCACTTGGCAATTACACATAGATACCAAAATGTAGGTGTGCCGAAAATAGATTTTAGTACCCACTTAGCGAAAGATTCTAGGTCTCATATATATTTCTCCAGAATGGACATAATTTTCAATATTTTAGTATTGAAGATATCTCACTAGGTACAATTCGAAGGTGCTTGTATCAAATGAGGAAAGCCATATTTACACATCAATTCCTCACAGGTCCCTTGAAGACATGACCAGATAAGGAATAACAGAACCTTTGGAATAATTATTTAGTTTTTTAAAAAAACAAATAGGAGAATTCCAGAACCAGAGAGAATCAAAAATGGAGAAGATAAACATTTACAGCTCATTACAGCACAAGGTTCTCTTGAGTTCATTGGACAAAGACAGCATCATTACAGGTATGTTATAGCGCTTTTAAGTGGGTGTCCTCCTTACTATTGGAAAGGGGTTGAGTGGGAAGGATTTCTTCTTGTCTTGCTTGTGCATTTTCTGTTTGAAGCCTCCCGCTCCAGCACCAGATGAATAAATGGAATGGATCTATCACTACTGTTGGAAGCAGGTTCATCACACTATGACCAAAATAATGGGAAGTGCATGTGGTTTTTGAGTGAACAAGATTTGCCCATGGACCATTCCCACGGGAACAGTTCTATCTGAGCTCTCAGCTGGGACCCTCAAGCTACTTTTCTCAACCTTTTTTACCCCATGCCTCCTTTGATAAACAAGCATTTCATGTTTCCTCTTCAAACCTGTCTTCCCTCATAATTTTATTTGAGATTTTAAATAGTACAGTACATCTAAAAAGAAAGCATTTGTAAATTTAGTGGGGGATCTTCAGCCTGTTTGTTTTTACATTATTAAACATACATGTTTGCCTCAAGAACTGTCATTCAGAGTGTTGACGCTTACTGCTTGCTGCATTCAAGTTTCTAGAATTTGCACAACATGTAAGTTACTTTCAATTCTGAGCCTGTTGAGTTGGTCTGTTTTTATAGCCACAAATGCAGAAAAACCAGCTTCACAAAAGTAGGTAAAAAATGAGATGTCACACATAGTGTGATTACTTATTTGGGGGTAAATAAGGAAATATTTTAACCAAAAATTCTCCAAAGTGAATTGGCTGGCATAATGTATTAGTAGATCACATTGTTACTTGTCTTCATAGTCTAATACCATTGGGTTTTATTTTATTAATGCATTTGTAGATTGTGTTCCATACAATTAGTATAGGCATCCTTCAATCTCGAGAGACTATGGTAATGTGCTCTGTATGGAGAACTTGGAACAGCGTCTAGTGTGGCTGAGAAGGCCAATTTGAGAGTGACAGTCCCTTCCACATACAATTAATTTCAATAGATTTTACTATATAGTTTTAACAAAAACAGGAAGCCTTACTAGTGTTAAATGCATCAAAACCAAATTCACCAACCATTCATTCATAAAATATTTTTATCCCACCTTTCTCCTTAAAAAGGACATATGGCAGCTTACATAATTGAAATCTGTTATTTAGAAGCCCAAAACAGTAGTGCATTGCACTTTAGAAATGACACCTAGTGAAGTTTTTTCAGAAAGAAGTTGACCATATTTCAAGCTGCTAATACATGGGTCTGTGATATCATATTTTTCTATTTATAACATGCTCCTGTTTATAACACACACACACACACTTTTCTAACCCCCAGATTAAGAAAACTTAGCTTTCAGTATTCAGCCTCTGGGCTCAGAACGTCGGACATTATGAGTCCCTGTTGAATCTGAGCCTACAGGCTCCACCTCCAATGAGGTGTGTTCCGATTGGTTTGTTCAGCCTCCGCTGATGTCAGTTCCATAAGGCTCGTGGTTGAAGAAAGCTAAGTCACCTGACTGTAGGAAGCTAAACCTTGTGACTGAAGGAAGCCTGTTTACAAAGGAAAGGTATGTGCCGTTTTGTTCTCTCCTCAGTTGTTTCAGCTTACATCCGTGTAAAAGACACCCGTCAATTTTTAATGATTTTAGGAAAAAGTAGCATCTTATACACAGAAAAAGACAGTAATAAAGCAATCACAACAATATACACTGAGTTACAGTTCTGAAATCATGAATGGTAATTTAGATCAGGGGTCTCAAACGTGGCCCAATGTGCCGTTTTGTTCTCTCCTCAGTTGTTTCAGCTTACATCCGTGTAAAAGACACCCGTCAATTTTTAATGATTTTAGGAAAAAGTAGCATCTTATACACAGAAAAAGACAGTAATAAAGCAATCACAACAATATACACTGAGTTACAGTTCTGAAATCATGAATGGTAATTTAGATCAGGGGTCTCAAACGTGGCCCAGGGGTCATTTGTGGCCCACCGGATGATAGTTTGTGGCCCTCGCCTTCCCCCCGAAGCACCCACGTGTCCTCTGCTGTCAAGAGTCAAAAAAGCCTCACCTTGCTTGCTGGCTCTCTCCCAAGACAGCACCTCTTGCACCTCCATCTGGAATTGCAGCCTGCCTGCCAGCCAGCCCGCCTGTCTGCTGGCTGGCAGGCTGCAGTTCTGGATGGAGAGTGCAAGAGGCGCTGTCTTGGGGGAGAGCTGCCAAGCGAGGTGCACTGCTGGCCCTTTTCACTGAGCACCTGAGCTGCTGCCGAGCGATGCCCGAGAGCGGAGCTCGCTCCTGGCCCATCCTCAAAGAGCGCCTCCTTGAAGAGCTGCCGCCACCACTGCCTCTTCCAGGCAAGTTGCTCTCTGGCTCTCTTTCTCTCTCGGAACCCCCAGCACCAGCCTGGCCAATGGCCGCCTCAGCGCCTGGCGGTGCTTCCTCCTCTTCCTCGGCTCTGGAGGCTACCTGGGCTCGCCTTGCAAAGTTTGCT